GACCCGTGGCCCTTAAGGACGAAGGGTCTAATTGTTTTAGTATCACCCAACTAGTCGGACAGAAAAGGCAATAATAAAGTTAGCAAATGCAAGTTGACGACATATTTATTTGGGAATAAAACGAAAGAAAGCGTCACGCTCGATTGCGCCAATTTCGCTACTCCAGGACTATTACTAATAGTCCTCTAGCAGCGTAGCCGATTAAAATGCAGGATTTGCATTAGTCCACTAGTTGGGTGATACTAATAGCTGATAGTATACGAATAGCTTAGCCAATCAGATTGCAGCATTTGCATTACTATTCTAGTAGAATTCTACTAATTAACAATTAGATTATGAGCTCGAGATTTCTATGAGGTGATAGTTGATGAGGCCGAAGGCCGAATCAACTATCACCTCATAGAAATCGAAAGCGAATAATCTAATTGTTTTAGTAGAATTCTTACTAAAGTTTACTTCAAATAACGGTTTCCAATTATTTCTCCACGTATTATTAAACTTTGCGCCTTAAAAAATATCGCGCGCATTGAATTGTCATTTAAAATTGAAGTTGTGTACGCGCGCGCATCATTTTTCTTTTTTTCAACCTTTTTTTCAATTTCAACCTTTTTTAAAGTCAAGAAACCGTAAATGTCCTTTGTTCAGTCTTCTCATGAATTTAATTACCATTTGCATCAAAATTTTCCTACAAAACTTTGCAATTGGAAAAACGAAAAAAACCTCGCCATCGCCTAGACGACCTCCAGCCACTGCACACTAACGGCTGATAGTCTGCAATGGCTCAGCCAATCAGATTACAGCGTTGGCATTGGTATACTAGTAGAATTCTACGAATTAAAATTAGCATTATAACCTGGTACGTGTACAAAATGCTATTGCGTGTGCGAGTTTGGATTCCTTGCAGCTAGCTCATGAAGACCTTAGGAATTGACTTCTCTGCAAATCATCATCTGTAATATGATTCATTATCCCTCACGTTGGATAATTATATAATACTAACAAATAGCATAATTGAAGTGAGAGACGTTTGTCAAAAGAGATTCATTGTCCAGACAATATTATTTTTTTTGCTTCCTCTTAGTGAATGTTTAACCTGAATTAGCGATGTATGGTTGGGGCATTCCTATGATGTTTGGAACAAATTAGCATTTACTGGCACCCAACAAGCGAATTAACTCAGGACTTCTACTGGGTACTACGATGAAGAGAGAGAGAAAGAAAACACAACAACGTATATAAAATAAAAAAATCATCTTTTAACGGAAGTGGTAGCGAAAAGGGCATTTTAATATTTTCGGCGGCTTTTCGAAAACAAAATTTAATGCCAATTAACAATTAGATTATGAGCTGATTTTCTATGGGGCTATAGTTGATGAGGCCGACGGCCGAAAAAACTATCACCTCATAGAGCGAATAATCTAATTGTTTTAGTAGAATTCTTACTAAAGTTTACATCAAATAATGGTTTCCAATTATTTTTCCACGTATTATTAAACTTTGTGCCTTAAAAATGTCGCTCGGATTGAATTGTCATTTAAAATTGAAGCTGTGTACGCGCGCGCATCATTTTTTTTTTTTTCACTAATTTCAACCTTTTTTAGAGTCAAGAAACCGTAAATGTCCTTCGTTTAGTCTTCTCAGGAATTTAATTATCCATTTGCATCAAAATTTTCCTCCAGAACTTTGGAAAAACGAAAAAAACCTCGCCATTGCCTAGACGACCTCCAGCCACTGCACACTAATGGCTGATAGTATACGATTAGCTCAGCCAATCAGATTGCAGCATTTGCATTAGTATACTAGTAGAATTCTACTAATTTTAATTAGTAGAATTCTACTAGTATACTAATGCAAATGCTGCAATCTGATTGGCTGAGCTAATCGTATACTATCAGCCATTAGAGTGCAGTGGCTGTCGGTCGCCCACAAAATGCGACATTTTTATCGAAGTTTTGGAAGAAAGTTTAGATGTAAATGGATAATTAAATTCCTGATAAGACTAAAAGAAGAACAATAGCGGTTTCTTGACTTTAAAAACTTGAAATTATTGAAAAAACGGTTGTGCGCGCGTAAACAACTTCAAATTTACCAAGGACAATTCAATGCGTGCGATCTTGTTAAAGCGTAAAGTTCAATAATGCGTAGAAAAATAATTAAAAACCGTTATTTGCGTTTATCTCACTTAGAATTCTACTAAAACAATTTGGTTATTCGCTCTCGTTTTTCTCGAGCTCATAATCTAATTGTTAATTTGCATTATAACCTGGTACGGGTGCAAAATGCTATGTGCGAGTCTGGATTCCTTGCAACTAGCTCATAAAACAAAAGATTCATTGTCCGGACAATAACAGTTTTTTGCTTCCTCTTGGTGAATGTTTAACCTGAATTAGCGATGCATGGCGAGGGCATTCTTATGATGGTTGGAACAAATTAGCATTTACTGGCACCCAACAAGCGAATTAACTCGATCTCCCATGTGGTTTTCGGATTCGTCAGCTCACAAGCAGAAGAAGTCAATCTATGTTCACTTTGCCTGCACCTTTCACCCTTATCCTGGTCACAGGCTTTTGCTTATGAGATAGTGGACTTTTTGCCCTCTTCTCTACTGGGTAGGAATTTCTGTAATTTGGAATGGATGGAAATTGTTTTTCAAGCTGCTGTGTGGCTAGCCACATAGTCAGAGTTTATCCAATCAGAAGCTTGTTTGTATTTCGTCGATCACCTTTCCCAGCAAACAAAGCAACCCCAAGCAATAGTGCTCATTGCTGTGAAACTGCTCTTGTAGAGAGACAGCATGACTGAACACAACAATTCATTGGGTACATTTGTTTGTTTACATTTGTTTCATCTTTAAGCAATAGAGCACTTTTCCCGTGTTTACATAGCCTCATCTAAACACGAGGAACGTTGGGAGAATTCGAGACAGTTATGTAAACCTTCGACTACGTCTCGGGTTTGCATATCTTTCAAGACTTCTCCGAGCATCCCCCACCCCTCCCCAGCCCCGTGTTTAGATGACGCTATCTAAACACAGAAAAAGTGCTCTATTGCTTTTATGAAATAATTCTCAAAAATATACGCGAATTTAAAACGTCACAACCGTTTTTACATACTCTCATGTAAACACACTTATCTACCAATGAGAGCGCGCGTAACAGCTCAGTTATTTTATAAAGCTTTACTTTTAACACTCACCACCTTCCTCGGTAAAAAGCAATGCTTCTGAACTCCTGTGTGGTTGTCCTAGTACATCCACGACAACAGCGAAGAGACGATACTCAGTGCCACCTTCAAGTCCGCCTATCGTTATGGACGTGACGTTTGGAAAAACAATGTCCCCTGCTATCTCTTTACCATCAGTAGTTTCCACTATTGCAACATAAGCCCGCACCTGGTTTCCAAGAACATCGGTCAGATTTGGCCATTGAAAGGTAATACTCGATTGTGAAACATTTAGGACGGTGACATTCCATCCATCCACCTGTGGTGCTGTAAATGATGTTAAAAAGTCATTTTAACGCATTAACATTTTAACATCTATATAGCTGGTCAAGTGCAGTGGAACTGATTGTTTGAAGCAAACTAATAAACAGCAATAGTAATAGTTTTGGTAGCCGCTGCGAAAACTTTGCACGGATTTAAAGATCTTGGATGCTCGGNGCGAAGAGACGATACTCAGTGCCACCTTCAAGTCCGCCCATCGTTATGGACGTGACGTTTGGAAAAACAATGTCCCCTGCTATCTCTTTACCATCAGTAGTTTCCACTATTGCAACATAAGCCCGCACCTGATTTCCAAGAACATCGGTTAGATTTGGCCATTGAAAGGTAATACTCGATTGTGAAACATGTAGGACGGTGACATTCCATCCATCCACCTGTGGTGCTGTAAATAATGTTGAAAAGTCATTTTAACGCATTGACATTTTAACATCTACATAGCTGGTCAATTGCAGTGGAACTGATTGTTTGGAGCAAACTAATAAACAACAATAGTAATGATTTTGGTAGCCGCTGCTAAAACCTTGCATGGATAAAAGACCGTGGATGCTCCGTGAGCTCTTTGTCATTTCGAACAATAACCTTGGTCTACCCGGTTTGTCTCTCTATCCACTCGCAAGTGACTTTCGCTATTATCTTAACTGTCCGACATTTGCAAATGCCTCCTTGAAAAAATTGATTCAATCGATTTAACAGAAACTGTCTTTTTAAAAAAGTTTTACTAACTTAGGAAAGTTGTCAACAACGTTACTAATTAAACACAAGCAACTTGACCAAATAAAATCACATTCCGCGTGTAAAAATATGCACGTGCATAGATTTATTACTAAGGCAAATGGGCACAGGTAGTTAAAAAGAAAATTATACGTGTTATGGTCTTGGACGTTTGAGTTGATGATCATCCGAGAATAGCAAAGTCAAACAATGGATCTTTTCGGCGATTCGGCGGCCATTTTGAATTCTGTTATTTCAAATAGCTATAATGGGACGCCAAGGGGGCAAATTAGTATGTATTTGCCACCTAAGAA